GGTTATATTAAAGTTGATGTATTTGTTTGGCCTAATAATCTGAACTTTTTTTTAGAACTGTTTCAAATTAAAAATTATTTTGTCATTACGCCTTTAACCCTTCACATCTGGACCTGGCTCTTTTTGCACTTGTCACAACCTTTTATGCCCCCCAGTGGCACAGCAGTATGTCTGCGGACTTACAACGCTAGAAACCGGGTTTCGATACCCCAGGTGTAGCTTTGTGCATAATTAAAAAAAAAAACACAAACTTTTACAATGTTACATTCAAAATTTGATTAAACAATTTATTTATCAATGTATATCAAGAAATCACAGTTTATTCTTTAATTTTGTATATTATATAAGTTTTAACTATATAATTTCAAAGTTAAATATCTATGTAATGCCTAATCTTCATTCTTTTTCAGAATTTCCTAACATCAAAAATAGGCTATTGCAGTTTTCAACCAATCACAAACACAAACTATACAATTACAATCAAGAATCAAATACCTGAACCTGCTACCTTCTTAATTTGATGAGATATCAATAAATTTGTCAAGAGAACCACCTTCTCTCTTTCTGAATTTAAGGTTATTTGCTAATCAACCTTTAATACATTACTGCGATATGTTTATAACAAATAGGAAGAGCAGTTTCTCATCTAAATAAATCTTGCGAGTCATGTGGAGTTTTCCCTATCTGCACCGTTAACAGAATTGTTTGGTTTATGGTGATCATATCTTGCTACTTTGAACATTAAAGGAATTTTTCTAACCTATTTATAGCTTGCTTAGAAAGCTGAATAAAATCATAGTAGTTTTGAGATATTCTAGTGACTTTTTTTTTTTTTGTGGTCACCCAAGTTCATGAGATTCATTGAAACTTAGAGAAAAGCATCTTAGTTTTTACTGCAGTATAAATGAGCTTGAGTACTAAGAATCCCTATTTTATGGCATGTTTGGTTTATTGTTATGTATTTTTTAACAAATGTAAATATTAGAAACTTTATATTAGCTTTGTTATAAACAGCTAATGAGTTCTCGCAACGATTTATTGCTTTTTGGTTGAAGTTTACTGCTCCAGTGGGATACCCGGTACAAAAATGAACCCATGAGATTAATAGGAAATATTTGTGAAAAAAACAATTGAAACTTTTAAGAAAAGTAATTTGAATGCTTCTGATCAATTAGTCAGTAAAGATAAAAAAATTGTTTTATTCATTTTATTTTATGTATTTCAGCCTTTTCATTTCACTGTATGTTAATGATTTCACTACAGTTTATGTTGGAATAGAGAAATATGTTTTACCAAAAGAAATTTTTTTATAATTACTTGTGAGGTCCTAGAGGCAAATGAAATATAAAAACAATTATTTTTATTCTTGGCATGAAAGTCACCTTTCACTTAGACAGGCTATCTTAGTAGAGGTTTTGTTAGATTAGGCTTAGTGAGTGACTAGCTAAAATTTAACCCATTTATGAAACAGGCTAAATATATTTTAATACAATATAAATATCATCTAAAGATTTGTTTATTGTTGATTATTTATTCATAGAGTGGTATAGATGTTAAGCACTCGCCGTTTGTAAGTTGTTTAGGTGGAAGGAGTGGGTTGTATTTGAGAACTCTGGACTGCCTTGCAGTTTTTGGAAGCTAATAGTGTGTATGAGTAATTTGTATGTATAGTTTGCAGGTTGTAGGAGAAATTTCAGGATATCTGTAGGTTGTAAGTTGTGTAGGTGGAAGGAGTGGGTTGTATTTGAGAACTCTGGACTGCCTTGCAGTTTTTAGAAGCTAGTAGTGTGTATGAGTAATTTGTATGTATAGTTTGCAGGTTGTAGGAGAAATTTCAGGATATCTGTAGGAAATGACAACAGGATTTCAAGTGGAACTTGAGGATTTTCCTTACAAAGTATGCGGCAGCTAATAACAGTTTTTAGGAAGTTAGGAACAGTACTAATAGGGCTAGACAATATAATATGAGTGGATTACATTAAATAAAAGATTTTAGCCTTTATCTTGTGCAGATGAGGAAGGAAAACAAAAGGTTAGATAAGAATGGGAATGAAAAGTATGAAGATATTGGTGATAATTTAGTGCAGCGCGTGGATAGGATAATCTGTGACGTAAACTGATAAAGGAATTAGGTTATGCTATCAAGGGGCAAGGCTAATGAATATAACTGATAGAGCAAGTGATATAGTAAAGCTTGTTAGCAGCAGTAATAGTATTTGTTGGACACAAAGGTTGGTCAAATAGACCAACTGTGTATAGAGTTATAGTATAAAAATAACAGATAAAGTTTTTCTGAAAAAAACGTTTGATATTTACTTAAGAGGTTTTAGAGATCACAAAAATGAAACTTAAAATTTTTAGAGGAAAAAAAATTTTTAATCTTAATATGAAAATCACTTTACACTCAGGACAGTCAATGCTCTGACTCCATATAAATACAAAGTTTTAGTAAAAAAGTTTATTAAGAATTCAGATTTTTTTGTCTACAAAAAGACTTAGTGTTTACAGAAAGCTTGTCAACTTTTGAGAAGATACTTCAAATTCTTACAAAATAATAGTATGTATACCACCATGGTTACAAGTTCATGTAAAATATAAGAGCCCATTGTGATAGAGTCAAAGATGGATATTGTCTAAGTTAGGTACTTTTTTTTTCCCTTACATATCCCTTCGTAATATCACAGAATCTCTTATTCAACTTACTTCCCAAATATCCATCTCAAATATTTATCTAATCTTTCATTGATGAGTGAAGAGGAACTCTTATCCATGAGGATCCTTGGTGGAATCCATCACCCAAGAACTACTGTTTTCTTTTGTGATTGGTAGAAAAGTCAGAAAATCAAAACTACCAGTTCAGATTTAATACCCAAAATAAATATAAATTTTTACATTTTATTGATAGTGGGGGAGATGATATTGGAAGATTGTGGGATGATAAACTTATTAAATTATATGTTCTCTTCAGTTTTTACAGAGGAAGATACAAGTATTATGCCTCAACCAGGGCGTTTAATGTATGGGGAAAATATTGATATAAAAGATATCATTTTATGATCTGAAATTGAAAGAGAAAAGCTGGGAAGCCTCAAGATTAATAAATCCCCTGGACCAGATAACTTTTATCCAAGAGTTTTATAGGAACTTAAAGGTTTTATTTGTGAACCTCTATCTAATATTTTTATAAGTCATGGAGTAGTGGAAGGGTATTAAAAGATTGGAAGTTGGCTAATGTTAATCCAATATTTAAAGGAGGTGATAAACATTGTCCAGGCAATTATAGGCCAGTTAGTCTTACATCAGTAGTTGTAAAGATTTTGGAGAGCATGTTTAAAGATGCATTGCAGAGTCACTTAAAGCAGTTTGATATAGTGTCAGAGAGCCAGCATGGTTTCACTAAGTCTTGTTTAACAAATCTTCTGACATTATTTGAGAATGTTACTGCAAGAGTTGATGAAGGGAATACTGTGTATTTGGTTTACCTTGATTTTGAGAAAATGTTTGATAAGGTGCCTCACAAAAGACTTGTTACAAAAATTAAATCTGTGGGTGTGGGGGAAATGTTATTAAATTTGCTGGAGAGTAGAAAGCAGAGAGTAGTAATAAATGGAGTTGGATCTGACTGGATCACAATTACAAGTGGTGTGCCACAGGGCTCTGTGATGTGTCCTCTGATGTTTGTGATTTGTATTAATGATATTGACTCTGGAATGACTAACAAAATTTTGAAGTTTGCAGTTGT